TGCTCGCGCAAATTACCTTGCGCGCCGCGCGATAGCTTAACTTGTACTTGCTTACATACACACACACAACCGAATGCAGCGCCTAAAAGCATGCGTCTGCACTAATGCGCAATTTAGCAGCGATAAGTCGTCAAAATTGCCTGGCAAATGAAGTTGGGTTTTATGGAAATGTTCGTACAGAAAAATTATAAATTTTTTTGAGAAGTTCTCAGCATGGGATATACAAGTTATCCTTTTTTCGGTTTCGAAAATAAAAGTAAGCAAAATGCATTTCAATGAATTTTTTTTTTTATGAAATTCCTTTTTTATTATGAGATTTTAACCTTCGCAATATATGTGAAAAACTGCTATGATCGCCCCGCTAACTTTTACAAACTATGATTCCTTTGAGGTAATTCTTTACCACTTTTTGGTACATATCGGACATTACCTCAGTCATATCATCACTTCATCACCATCTCATCATACCACATGAAGACTGCTGCAAAATTGAAACAACTATAAACTCTCAGTTCACATCACATGATCGATATCAACACATCACCACATCATTTTACATGACATCGATATGATGACTTACTGTAATTTACTAAAGAGGCTACAGAATACTACTGAAAAATGAAAACATTGCAGTTAATATTTCGGTAATTTCTCATTCCACATAAATATCACATGATCACATGATATATATTAACACATCACCACATCATCTTACATGACATCGATATGATGACTTACTGTAATATACTAAAGAGGCTACAGAATACTACTGAAAAGTTAAAACATTGCAGTTAATATGGAGAATTCGGTAATTTCTCATAAATATCACATTATCACATGAAAATTATCAACACATCACCACATCATACCACGTGATATCGATATGATGACTTGCTGTAATATACTAAACAGGCTACAAAATACTGCGGCATCATTGAAACATTGCTGCTAATATGCAGAAATCGGTAATATCTCATTCACATCAGTTTGAAATGATCACGTGATCGTTACAAGCACTTCACCACATCATTCCACATGACATCGAAATGATGACTTGTAGTATTATATTAAAGAGTCTACAGAAGGCTGCTGCAAAAATGAAACATTATAGCTAATATGGAGAAATCGGTACTGACTCATTACACATCAATACCACCTGATCAGCATCAGCACATCACCACATCCGCAGCACATAACACCAGATGATCGATGTGATGACCTGCTATATATACTAATGAGGCTGTAGACATTTTCACACATTCCCACATCAATGCAACATGACATATGAAAATTGTTGTAAAAAAGACGAGCAGATATCTCGAGGAATTTTCTTGCGACTGAGGACTCACATTTTTTTCTCGTACGTTTTCAATATTTCCCAATTTTTTCGAAAGCAAAATTAACCATTTCGCAAGACGACCATGCACTCAACATTTCACTCGCTGGAAATGAAGAAGTCAAACATTAAGTAAACAGTACTTCAAAAGCAGTCGGCTCAACATGAGTATGCGAAGCGTGATCCAGCTTTGATTCAACGATTTCGCTCATCAAAAGTCTAAACTTAAAAATTGGAGAATGTAAGTCGGATAGAAATTCTTAAAGCTTCCTACAACAGCGACATCTGTTGACTGTAATTTCGCTTTAAAGCTGGCATGTCACAACATCGACATCGACGAACTTAAAAATAATTAAAATTTTACAAAAAAAAAAAAAATTGAAAGAAAAGTAAGTGAAGACTTCTCGGGAAAAGTATAACCAAAGAAGAAAATACTTGTAAAAAGTTTGCGAAAAGTTTTCACCCAACATAAGAAAGCACTGGGGAACGCAAGGACTACCAATAAAAAAAATATGCATATACATACATATACAGGCCTGTGTGTTTAACAGTAAATAAAATGCTCAATAAACTTGCCCGCTTATAAACCAAAGGCAAAGGCTTTGTTACTTAATAAACTGCAGCGCTGCTACCGAGAAATATAGACAAACAAAAACAAAAAACACACACGCGCTAAAGGGACTTTTACCAAAGCAACAAAACATGCATACAAAGCTTTGTGGTAGCGAGGGGAGTGCGTGCGCATAGTTAAACTTGCCTTTGTAGGCAGAAAAACTTTCGCAAGTGTGTTGTAAAGCGTTTCTGGGCTTTGAGGGAAACTCGTATGAAAAAATTATATTATATATACATATAGGGTTATACATTTCTTGATTTAAAAAGTACAGTACTGTATTTTTATGACCGCTAAATTTAACTGCCAAACCAAATGTGTTTTGTTTTAGTTAAAAGGCAGGCATTTATGAAAATGATTCGCTTAAAAACTACACAATGCATTGAAAATATTGAAATCTGCTGAAAAAATGGTGTTCCAAACTTGGCCGCATTTCGTGCTTTAAGAAGAGATTATGGTGCACAACTATACTTTATAAGAAATTTTTCAGAGACTGAAGCGGCGATTAAAGACATTGTAAGGCCTGCGCATCATCATTTTGCTCGGTTCACTTCAAATATCGCACCTGTGCTAAGTGAAAGTATAGCCGAGTATCTGAATGTGTCTTTTTATTGATGTGCGGCATATTTTTCACCTGGAAACAAATTTTTCTACGACTGAAGTCCAGTTCATATAACGACTGAATGTAATGGGCCATTCACAATGCCATACGTATATACATCGATTGTATGCTTGAGCAACAAGAAGTGAACAACGATTTTTCGAACATTCATTTAGAGCTTAGAGTATTCTGGTATCTGGTAGGTTCTCTGGTCCGGAGGAGCAAGTGGACCTTACTTCGTTGAAAGCGACAACGGAGGGACTGTCACTATTAGTTCATAGCGTTGTGGTGGTATGATCACCGACTTTCTATTGGCATGCAATTGAAGAACACAACTTAAGCAATATATAGTTTCAACAAAATAGTCCACATGCTACACAACACTAGCGAATATGGCTTTATTGTGAGAGAAATTTCCCGGCAACGTAATCTCTCTTCAATAAATATCGTTTTTACGTACATAAACCTTTCATTGTTTAGCACTTGAGCACCAATAATGGCTGAGATACCGTCGAACGTGGACCAAAAAGTCTTCGAAAATTATCTCGAAGGCAGCGAGGGGGTCATTCGAATGATGTCTTATAAATAGTATAATTGTTGAAGGTGCCATCTTTTTAACAAAAAATGAGGTTAGTCCTGTATATAAATCCTGAAGCCCTTTTCGCGGAATAGTTCGTTAATAGTTAGCTCACTTTGCTGATTTTATTTTACACTTGCTTTTTTATTCCTATTTTTTGCATTTATTTTTTTAATGTTTTTTAATATTTTTTTAAATTATTTTTATAATTTTTAATTTCTTATTTTAGTTTAATTTTTTTGTAAATATTATTTATTTTATATTATATTTTATTTTATATTTATTGTTTTTTAAATAGCTTTTGAATTTTTTTATTTTCTTTTAAAATTTTTTAATTTTCTCTTTTATTTTATTTTATTATTTATATTTTTTTTTTAATTAATAAGTTTTTATTTTAATTTTTTTTTTTAATTTACTGTTTTATTTTATTCTTTATATTTATTTGTTTTAATTGATAGTTTTTTCTTTAAATTTTTTTAATTTTCTATTTTATTTTATTTTATTTTTGATACTTATTTTTTTAATTAATAATTTTGTATTTTAATTTTTTTAAAATAACTATTTAATTTTTTTTTTAGTATTACCTATTTTACACCGGCATTTTTATTCTTATTTTTTATATGTATTTATTTCTTCAATTTTCTTTTAATTTTTTTTTAATTTTAAATAACCGTTTTATAATTTTTTTTTAAATTTTTGAATTTTCTATTTTATTTTTTTCAACTTTTTTTAATTTTATTTTTTTTTATTGAGTTTTTAATTTTGTTTTATTTATGCGCTTTTCATCGCCCCTCTCTTTATACGTGCGAATACTCATTTTCCTTGCCAATTTCAGTGTAGGAGAAGCGCGTTTGTGCAAAACTTTCTCAAACTACACTTATATATACGTATGTATGTGTGTTTAGTAATTATCAAACATTGTTTTATTGAAAAGCTGTTTGAAAATAATTTTTCTTTTTGCGTGTAAAAAAACTTTCAACAAAGTGTCATTTTTATACTTTTATAGTTTGGCAACAAAGTTTCATATTATTTTTAACGCTCTGTATGTGGGTGTAGAAAGATAGCAAAAATATTGCGGTTATATTGGGTTGCATCAGAAGAAACCGGCGATTTTTCATACAGACATGTATGGTGATAAGGCCTGAAAAGAAACACAGTGTTTGTCAAATTTCGTTCGAAATATTTTTCACTCAAAGATAAGCCACATTCAGGTCGGCCAAGTGAAGTTGATGATGACGATATCAAGGCTTTAAACAAATCGGATCGTCATGTAACTGAGTGTGGTAAGAGAGAAGTTAAGTATACCAAAACCAACCGTTATTAATCATATACAACGTCTTGGACTGGTAAAACAAAAAGCTTGATATTGAATTGAAAGAAATTCCCTCAACAAACCGCTTCAAAGTTTGTGATATTCATCTTAAACGCTAGGAATATGATCGGTTTTATAGGGAAATCATAACTGCAATTGAAAATTGGATTCTCTACAATAACGTCAATTGAAAGCGATAATGGTACAAGCATGATAAAGCGCCACAAACCACTACAACGGCTGATATTCACCAAAAAGAAGATTATCCTGACATACTGTCAGTTTGGTGAGATTGAAAGGGTGTGGTATATGTGGAGCTGCTTCCAAGCAACCAAACGATTAATTCGAATGTCTAGAACAACAACAACTGGACAAACTGAATACATCAATCGGTTGAGCTTAGCAACCGCCCTCTTTTTACAGTACCAAGTCGCCTAGTATTTATATATTAACCAAGTTTAGATAAATATATTAATCACAAGCTCTTCCAATTTTAATCCCCATTTAAAAAAAAAAAAAAAAAAAAAAATTAAAATTTAATCACAACTTTTTTCTTCCTTTCAGTTCCCAGCATGCACTCACGTTAAGCACCGGGCAAATAAGCATGGAAAAAACTTTCCAAAATCGTCAACAGCCAATGAGACAACAATCCATGCCAAACGCACCCTTACACAGCAAGCAGAGAACAAACAAAATGACCGTGCAAACAGCGAACACAACAAGTCCAGTGAGATGGCTGAATGCGCATAATAAAAGCAACACACAAACAACAACAGCAACAACAAATGCATTACGTAACAGCAGCAACACCACGCAATACCACCGCAAGCAGCAACAACAACAACACAAAGCGACAACAATAACACAAACAACACCATGGCGCCTGCCGACAACAACAACACTACTACTCTGCACACTAACCCTGCTAAGTGTGTGTACGCCGCACATATACGCCTTTTGCCCCTCCAAGTGTCAGTGCCTCAGCGGCGATGCGAACAGTCGTGCTTACTGCGCGGATGCGGCGCTCGAAGATGTGCCGATCCAGCTGAATCCCGAAACGAAATACATCAATTTGACAAGGAATAAAATACGCAATCTGGAATTTACACTGCCATTTTATATGAAACTCGAAGTGCTCGATCTGTCGCAGAATATCATCGAAACATTGGGTTCGAAAAATTTCGAATATCAAAAGGATATGCGTACGCTGAATTTGAGTCGCAATTCGGTGAGCGCACTGCAGAAGGATGCCTTCAGAGGACTGACTAATTTGCTGGTGCTCGATTTGAGTTATAATCGCATTGAGGTGGCGCATCCCAGTGCTTTGAGTAATCTCACATCGCTGATTAAACTCGATTTGACAAATAATAATATAGTGAGCTTGGAGGATAATTGTTTTCACAATATGATATCCATGGAGATATTGATATTTAAGAATAATCAACTGTTGGATGTGCCATCGAATAATTTGCAACATTTGCATGCGCTCAAATCGCTGGATTTGTCTGATAATCTGGTGGAGTATGTGCGCAACGATAGCTTCGAGGGGCTGCGCGAGCTGATGATGCTCACGATGAGAGGCAATGTGATCTCGGAGTTGGATTTGAGCGCGTTCGAGGGTCTGACTGCACTGAAGCATCTGGATTTGGCCGATAATAATTTGACGGTAAGTGAATTGAGCTGATAATTGTTTTTGGAGACGTAACAGAAATTTTTGTGAGCACTGTTGCCAATTTTCAAACAGAAATAGCTTTTATTTAAATGTCTCTTACTGTCGACAACTTAAGAGATGACTAAATTATCTTTAAATAAATATGTTTTAGTATATATTTTTTATATTGTACCTAATTGAATATGTAATTTGCAATGTTGTCAATTTTCGTGCGGAATTAATAGCTCGTCAGTGAATATCTCGTGCTACTAACGGCCTACAAATTTTCTCTTGGCGAGTCTAGCGTATTTCAAATTTATTTCGAAGATGTATTATTCTTTTATTTTCGAGCGAAATCGTTCATTTGCAATGTTGCCAATTTGCTGTACTGATAAAATGCTGCTCCCACAATTGTATGTTTTTTAGCCAGGCAATGTTGCCAGTTTTCGTAAACTTTTTTATTCTTATGGCTATACGATGGTAATGTGTATATAAAATCACCTATTAAGGGAAAGTTTTTCTTACATAAACTGCTGCTGGCACTACTGCACGCTGGCTTTAATCATAAAATTTAACACAAAGTTGATAATTTTTTTTACAAGAAATTGAGAGCAATTAAAGAAAGAATCTAAATATATTTACTATGCAAATTTACTAGACAATATGAGTAATTTAAAAAAAAAGAAATTGTAGTCTCATAAAAATACTTTTTATCATTTCAGCGCTGCCAATTCTCACACAATTTTCCCAAAATATCTCTACGTTTTTTCTAAATTTATTTAAAAAGTTTCCTCTTCGATCAATTTTTGCCGGTTTTATAATAGGTAAACAAGTTGAATTTTCAACGTTGCCAATTTCACTCATCAGTACATTTATTTTACAAAAATATATTTATGCATTTTCATGGCAAAAAAATAAAAAAAAATAATTGAATTTGAGCAGGACAGTGTTGTCAATTTTTCTCGGAAGGATAGTTATTTATCAGCCGCTCCACAAATTATATATGAAATTTTTTCATCAAATTATACACTTAATGAGAAATTTATTCTTCTTAAAACCTTCTACAATGAAAATACTATCTATGTTGCCAATTTTCTTTCCGAGTTAAATTAGCTTCACATTTTATTGCCTTTTTGGCAAATAAGAAAATTATTTGTTGTCAATTTTCATCACATTCAAGAAAAAATAAACTGAGGCGCCTTTAAACAGAGTTTTCTATAAGCAATCTTGCCAAATTTCATCATCGCATGTAAAACTATTTATTTTTCTAAAGTCTTGCTTTAAAAACAATTACCATACTTTACGCCAGCCAGTGAAAAAAAATTTCTATAGAAATGTTTTTTACTAATGCAATTTATCAAGCAACGTTGCCTATTTTCTCCGCTTTAAAAACTCATAAATTTTTAGCAATGAATGCCATCCCAAAATTTTAAAAATTAAAGCTCTGGAAAGTTTGCTTAAGTATAGATATATTCGCTTAATGAGCACAGTTACTATATATCTATTCTTCATTACCAAGAGTAACAATCTTTATTTTATGGTACGATGTGATATTTGCCCTCCGTTTCACACTAAGTAAACAAGAATTTCCATTTCAATCAATCATGTATTGGTATATTGCTTCTCCTGTTGTGGAGTGCAATGCATTTGTATATATAAAATATATATTAACATAGAAGTGAGTTCAGCATAATGAGAATCTCGTTATTGAAGCTCGAGGAAATTTCCACAATTCCCCCACTCGAAACTGAGCATATGTTAGTGGGTAAATTTGTAGAAAATCGCAGGTTTGCACTTGCAGATAGGCTCAGTATATTTATTTTATAATTTTTTGTAAGCATTGTTGCCAATTATCTTGGCTTCTTAAATATTATAACTCTATCATTCATTTTTCTTTAAAAATAGGGATATTCATCGACAAGTTTCTTTATATTACTAATTTGCTTCGACTATATTTTAATTGAATAGCCCATAAGCAACGTTGCCAATTTTCATCATTGTAAAAATTATAATTTGGAATTTTTCTGCAGTGTACTTATAAGTCATAATAAAAATTTACCATAGGCATTGTTGCCAATTTTCTTACTTCAAACCACTCAATACTTTTCTTACAAAGTGAGTTATTTGTTGCCAATTTTCTACATTTATAAAAAGTTTTTTATTTTAAGGAGATTTGAAATGAATTCTCTGTATGCAACGTTGCCAATTTTTTTTTTTTTGTGGTTTTAAGAAATCTGTTTTTAAATATACTTTATTTTTTGGCGAAGTTTTATCAAATTGTTTAGACATCACAAAAGCAGATTTCTAGCTCGTATTTATTTTTACCTTGCTGTCTTTTAAACGTTTTCATTTTTCATCTCCATACGCTTTTACGTTATTCACTACCATTTATACATATATATTTCTCCATCTTTCTATTTTTTTTTTCTTTTACGCTCTGCTACCATTGCTTCCAACTGTCTTTTTCAGCTACATCAGTTATGCATTTTGTGTCACGAATATTACTTTCTCCTCTCATCGCATGTCCTTGTGTATTATGCATCAGATGTTGTCAACGTTGCCTTAAATATTAAAGAACTGCAGCACCAGCAGAAATGCCATTTACATGCCTGAAAAATATTTGCAGCTCAAAAAGAGAAAAAAATTAAATGAACTATGAATCGCAAAGATACAAAGCATTTTTATACTTTTTAGTAAAAATCTATAAAAAATTAGGAAAATAATATTTATAAAAAATCAGTGAAAAGTGGTATTTCCCATTGATAAATTCCCGTTTCACCAAAATCTCCTTTAAAATAATTTTCCATTAAACTTATCCTTACCTTCAGCTTTCAATTTAAAGCTCTAGCACTTCATCAACCTCTGCTCTGCACTGTCATTTACCACTTATAGCAGAGAATGCATACATATTCATTTGCACTTACCTTTAGCTCTCCGCCTGTCTTTTGCAATGTCAGCATTAACGTGTCTAGTGCACAAATAATTTATCGCATAACCTCAAAATGCGCATTCCAATGAAACCACAAGCCACTAAAGTAACGTACAAAAGCAACAACAACAATAACAGGCTTTCAGCTATTATCGCGATGCCATTGCACGTACAGTTATAAGCACTACAAACACCACAACCACCATCGCTGTTATTGTGCCTGTTTAAGTGAATTGGGCAATATATAAATACATACTTACCGGAAGGTAAAATGAGGTTGCGCATACGACATGGCATAACTGTCTGTACAGCTGAAATATGAAGTGTTAAACTATATTAAATATATAAAGAAAATGAAATAAGATTAAATTGTTTAAAAATTAAATAAATTAAACTAAATTAAATAAAATTAAATAATACAAAACAAAATAAAACAAAATAAGAAATATAAAATAAAAAATTAAACTCAAAAAAAGTAAAAGAAATAAAAACAATAAAAAAAAATAATAAATAAATTTAAGAAAAACTAAATAAAAAAAATTAAATAAAATTATTTAAATAAAATGAAATAAAATGGATGAAAATAAAATAATGTAAAATTAATTAATTAAACAAAAACAAAAAAAATTAAATTAAGAAATAAATTAAAATAAATAAAAAAATAAAATAAAATAAAATCAAACGAACTAAAACAAAAATTTATAAAACAAAAATAAAAAATTAAAATAAATAAATGAAATAATGCAATAATAAAACTAAAATAAAATGCAATAAAACGAAATAAAATAAAGTAAAGTAAAATATTCTAAAATAAAACAAAATTTAATTACATAAAAGAAACTAATATAAAGCAAAAGTTAATTTAATTAAATAAAATAAAAAATTAATTAGTTAATAAAAAAAAATTAGAATAAAATGAAATGTAGTTAAAAAACTAATGAAATGAATTAATGTAAAATAAAAGTACTACAATATCTTAAAATTACTTTTTTCATAAATTTATGCGCTTTTTAAAATTTCTTAACTCATTTTTAATAGTATTTTTAATTTATTTTTTGGAAAATTTGCATTTCGTTTTCAACTTCTAGGATTTATATTTGCTTAAGTATAGATATATTCGCTTAATGAGCACAGTTACTATATATCTATTCATCATTACCAAGAGTAATAATCTTTATTTTATGGTACGACGTGATATTTGCCCTCCGTTTCACACTCAGTAAACAAGCATTTCCATTTCAATCAATCATGTATTGGTATATTGCTTCTCCTGTTGTGGAGTGCAATGCATTTGTATATATAAAATATATATTAACATAGAAGTGAGTTCAGCATAATGAGAATCTCGTTATTGAAGCTCGAGGAAATTTCCACAATTCCCCCACTCGAAACTGAGCATATGTTAGTGGGTAAATTTGTGAAAAATCGCAGGGATGCACTTGCAGATAGGCTCAGTATTTTTTTTTTATAATTTGAATAAATTGCAACAGAGTAAAACGTATTATATACATTTTCGGAAATATGCATTTTTAATTAAAAATTTTTGTTCAAAATAATGGTTTTGCTGTGCCATTGTAATACAAAATTTTCTTAAGGGAAGGAAACTTTTTTGTTTCATTATTGCTATTTTTAATTAAGTAAATATAAATATATAAATATAAATTTCAATATAATATTTTTTTTAAACACATGTTTTTTGTATTAATTTATTTTCGGGTTGAATTTTTGTGTTTATTTTAAAAAATGATTGATCTATACAATTCAACTCAAAAATAAATTAATACCGAAAGAAAAGAATTGTATAAAAGAGGAATATATTAAATTTAATAATTACTGGAAATGACATATTTTTCGTAATTTACAAAAAAATATTTGTATAAAAATTTGAAAAAAAATTTGTAAATAATCATTTTTATTATTGTTGTACAGCAAAATATTCAATTGAATTGAAATTTTATATTCAAATTATTTTTTAACTGATTTCACCGCTTTTCTTTGCAGATGGTGCCTACCCAGCAACTCTCGAAATTATCCAATCTCACTTTTTTATCGCTGAGTGGCAATCGGTTTTCGCAGCTACCCGCCGTTGCATTTATGAATTTATTTCATCTGCGTGAACTACATTTAAATCGTTTGGATCGACTAAATCGCATTGACTCAAGGTAAGAGACGAAGTATATGTATATAAAAATTCTAAGATATATATTTAAAAAAAAAAAAAAATAATAAAAATAAAAAATTAAGAGACGAAGATTCTTTGAAAAATATGAGAATAGTTAATTTGGTCTTATTTGAATATTTTAAATTTTTTTTTTATTTTTTTTTATTATTATTCTTATGTTCTTTTTTTTCTTTTTGAATAACTAAATTTTTTTAAAAAAGATTCATACCATCAGTCATCTATAGAAAATTTTATTAAATAACAGTTAACATAACGTTTATTTCAACGTGTCTCCCGCATTGCTCATCATTTCCTTTTTCTGTGCCCTTTGGCGCCCTGCTGTCAGTGTTCAAATAATCATAACTGTTCAATAAGCATATCAAAATCGTATAGTGAACGTCAGCTTCATATAAAGACATATACAAATGTATGAATATCCCACATATTTACACATATCCATATATATTTATGTATATAGACTAGTATATGTGAGTAACAGCACAGCACAGCAAATCAAGCAATCAGATCATGCAAATAATTCAATAATTTCTCTCGGGTATAATTTTCATATGAAATCATAAGAAAATGAAGTGGTTTGTATAAGCAGTCATAATAAAACCGACACATTAGGGTGGTAAACAAAATTGTCGAAAGAGAAAATGGAAAAAATACCATACATGTATCTATATGTAGATGAAAAATTTTAGTTTCAGAGTTGATGGAAATACTTTAACCAGATTTGTTATCTTTTCTTTATTTAAATATTTTTTAATTTTTTTTTAATTTTAAATATATGATTTTTTTAGTTTTTTAATTTACAAATTAAGGAAAAAGTCACATTGTGTTTCTTCTCAAATCTCTCAATGAGTTAATTGAGTGCCTGTTTGTGAACTATGTTTTAGATATGAATTAAATTTTTTTTATAAATATAATCTTACTTTTGGGATTGTTTTGGAAACAACTAGTTACGATTATTTTTAAAAGGAACTAGTTTTATAACTAATTCAATATTTTGTGGGCAAATACCAGTTACGTTGGGGATGGCTAGTCAAAACAAGTTTTTTTTTATTTTAAACCAATTTTTTTTTGCAATAATAAAAATATTACCTAATTAACAAACACCCTAAAAACAAATGTACTCACATAAAATTATATGTTTAGCTGTACATAAGGCAATCTTCACATTGATAACTACTATGTGTATATGTCGTCACGGTTTGTCTGCATTTGATTTGACGTCTTGCCACGCCACGCAATGCCGCGTCAGAGCTTTGAAATATCAAATGCCGTTTGCTCAATCAGTTGCCAATAACATCCACACACTCACACCGCTTCCCACATTCACATGCGGCATATCGTTAGTATAATTTCTATTCTGTTGCGTCTCGTCTGTTGATGCATCTCAAGTTGATTTGCGATTAAGTCATGTGTATGATTGTTTGTCTAAGTTCGCCATGGCTTTTGCGCGCACACACAAATACACTCGTATCTATGCACCGTTGCGCCTATATAATGATATCTGTGTTTATTTGGTTGCGCTTCAATCTCACTCTTCACCCACGCTTTGTCTTTCATTTCGCTTAGTCGTTTGTCTGCATGCCGTCTACTAGCTGTCTATCAGCCATCATCCTTGTATATGCTTCTCGTGTTTTCTATGTATGTATGTATTGATGCATGTATGCCGTCATCGTCCTTGCCATCACAACATTGACACTCAATGCCGCTACTATTCACTTCGATGTGTTTTAATGTTCATTCTCGCTTCAGCGCTATTTCATGTGTGAATGAGTTTAGTTATCTTTTGCTATGGGTTTGAATGCATATGGGAGTGTGTGTATTCATATGAGGTACAATATATAATATATTTAATATTGCTTGCCGCCTGTTTATATGCTAAATATCCTTTGGGAAATATTAAACTCTTCATTTGCTATAGTATGTTTGTATTCTCATGCTCGTTCTCTCAGCAGTCAGCTTTCAACAACAACAATTGATTGGCATATAAATGATAACACGACATATTGGGTATGTTTCGTTTATAGACAATTGAAATGTGCGTTTAAAAACAAGCATTTGACATAAAGTAAAATGAAATTGCAAAAATTAAAGTTTTTGATAACTAGTTTTGAATATTTATTCAACTTTGAAGTTTGTCATTAAGCTTATTTCATTTATTATATTAATTTTTTTTTTTAATTTTCTTTAATTTGTATTTACTTTCTTGTAAATTATAATACAATTTTTTTATCTTGTTTAAAGTTTTTCACTTAATCTTTCCTTATTTCATTTTGTATTATTTTGAAGTATTTTATTTGATTAAATTTGAACTCATATTATTTTATATTAATTTGATTTAGTTATTTTAGTTTTTTTCATTTCATTTGATATTATTAAATTTTTTGAAATTCTTTATTAATTAATTTTATTCGATTTAATTCTTGTCTTATAATTTTTTTGGTTTCATTTATTATAATTTATTATTTTTATTTATTTATTTTTTGATTTCATTATACTTTATTTAATCTTGTTTTATTTTGTTATAATTTTTTTATTTCTTTTTTTTTTTAAATAACTTTATTTATTTTATTTTAGAGTATTTTATTTTATTTTCGTTAATACCATTTCATTTAATTTGACTATACTTTATTTTACTCTATTTAAGTTTTATACATTAAATCATTTTATTTTATTTTCCTTATTTTATATTTGTTTGTATAATATTAATTTAATTTATATTTATTTATTTAACTTTATTTTATTTTACTTTATTTATTTATTTTATTTTATTTTATTTTTTTTTAATTTAATATAATTTTGTTTTATTTTATTTTATTTTATTTTATTTTATTTTATTTTATTTATATTTTTTATTTTATTCTATTTTAGTTTATTTAATTTAGTTTTATATATATTTATTTTACCGTATTTAATTTGGTTTCTTTTTCTTTTATTATCGTAGTTTTGTTTATTTATTTTGTTTCTTGCTGGCTCTACGTTGCATGGCCGCAGACAGCTTATATTCAATCGACAAGTTGCGAATAATTTTCAATTTTCAAGCATTTGGGTTGTTCAATTTACATAAGCGGTGAAGAAATGCAAACATCTATATATGTCACGCATGCAACCAACGAACCGGCAGCAGAAGTTCAATTGCAGTGGCAAGCCCGGTGACGACTTAACATGCCGCTTGCGCGCTATTTCCGTTTCCGGTTCGTAGCATGAAATCTTTAAGGAGCATGCACAGTACGCGGGTGCGCAAAATAGGAAAATCCAAAAAAAGAATCACTAACAACAACAAACACACAAAATCAAAAAAATAGCCAAAAGCAACGCAGTCACAAAATCTTCTTCTCCTTTTTTTCTTCTTCTACGCTTCAACATTCCTTCATGTGCTTACCGCAGACGATACTGCTATTGTTAGCATATATTTAGGCGCTCGAATGCATTACCTTTTGCTTGCTACTGTATGTGTAATGCATGCAAATACCGTTAAAAGCGCTACTTGCCCTTAGTTTTCTATCCTTACTTTCCTTGCGTTCTCTTCCCCCCACTGAATTACTCATACAAATTTCTTAGTCGTTTCTGTACGCTTTTCTTCACATTCTTATTCTGTGCGCAATTTGTGCTCATCATCTTTAAACGAATTCATGTATATGCTTGTGTTTGTATTGTCGTCTGTACTGTTTAAAGATTTTCGCGTTTTAATAGTATTTCGCTTGCTCGCTAGCTACCGCAACAGAAATCGCAGACATGTCTGAAATTCTCGAGAGTTTGCAGAGAGAGAGAGAGAGAGAGAGAGAGAGGGTGCCATGCCTTGAATCATATGCAAATATCCCTTTGTATGTTTTTGCATTTATATGTAGGTATCTTTCATGTGTGTGTGTGTGTGGGTGTGTACGCATGTTTGACTTCAAGATTTTACTATTTGCATAATATTTGCACAGATAATTGAATTTTCTTGCGGTGCCATGGGCAGATAAGCTAACATAGCGAAAGGTAGCTCAGTGCAGGAGCAGTTAAGTCAGTTAATTTGGTTTTCAATCTAAAGTTTATTCTGCTTTTTCTTTTTTTTTTTTTGCATACATTTTGAGGGTTCAAAATCACTGGCAGCAAAATGGACCTGATTTTTCTGAGTTCAACGTCTTTCTAGCTTTTTACAAGTTAGCAAAGGCCTTCTTTTGGTCAATACAAGTGCTTTAATCTTAATACGTGACTCTCTAACCTGTGCTTTTTGTATTACATAAGGGCATATTTCTGTTGTTTATGTCTATTGTCGGTTGTCGAGATCATCGAACAAAAGATGCAATATACGAAGAGTCTCAAGACTGAGGGAGTTGGATGATATATGAGTAGGTTTTAGTAGGCTTGCAGGGACGTGTATAGTATCGTGTAGAGATTCATTGCATGCAGAACATGCCTAAGATTGGTTAAGAACATCGAGTTTGAATACGAAAAGTTGAGTCTACTTCAGTATCCGGACAGTGGTCTTGGTAGTTTTACCTGGAGCTCGTGAGTCCACTTCTCTTCTGAGATAGATTACACCTTTCATGGAAAGAGATTTAATGAAGTTGGGAACAGCTCAATAGGTCGTCGCGTCTAGTGGCTTCTAAAATAATATTGAATAAAGCCTGCAAATTTAGGTACTTCCTTGTTTATACGTCTGAGAAATTGTTGGAATTTAAAATGGTATCTGCCAGGATAGTGCACGCTCATTATACACGTTTATTGAGCGCATGAGAGGTTTGCTATGCAAATCAGGAGACTCTTTCCTGCATAGGCACTCCAAATAGCACTCTGAAAGGACTTGCGATTTCTTCATCACACTTGACACCTTCGTCAGAAGTAGCGTTTCTATATATTTTGCCTGGTGGAAATCTGAAACGGGGCTAACAGGATTCAAGAGCCATCGGTTGTTGAATGCTGTGGATGCTGCCCAGGGTTGCACACATAAGCAAATGCTTGAAAGAATAAAAATTGAATGCTCTCCTCGAAGATCTAGTA